ATGTAAAATTGCCACGGTATACGAACAAAAAAAAAAAAATAATAATAATAATAAAAATATATAGGTTAATATTTGTTTGTTTTTTTATGAATAAAAAATATGTTTTATTTCAATTATACCGACGATGTTTTTTTTTGTTTTTTTTCATACAACGCACAATAATGCACACTGTCTCATAACTGCGACAGGCGACATTTCAACGCTCGTCATAATTATCGTATATTATCTATTCGACTAGAAATACGTTTCAATGGAGCTGTTCGACGATATTTATCATTAGACACCGCTAGAGTACACATGACATAACCGTTGATTAAACTTATTATACACGTGACGTACGTATAGAGTACAAAAACCAAACGGATTTTTTTTTTTTTTTTAACGGCGCCGCATACACGAATAAAATATATTACGACTTGCTCACAAACTCGCACCACTCTTATTCAATTATTATTTTAGATTGCGAGCGTATCGGTTTTACAATGCTGTTTATTTCTTTTTCTTTATTCTAGCCTGTGAACACGTTTTTTACTAATAAACTTGCTCCAATTTTTACGTGTAAAAACTTTTCTGGAAGCTCAAGTTGTCCAAATAGTATTTTAAATGGGACATTTTTTTGATTTGCAACGCCATTTTTTGAATCACAACACTTAAATATGAAAAAACTTAGGAAAACGTACAACTTCACGATTTCATTATTTTAAAAAAAACACGGACGACGTTTTCTATCAGAAAAAAAGAATTTATTCGAAAAATTACAAGTAATCTTTTTTATTACCTTTTTGATTTACTTTCTTACGGTATCGCCACCAAAACTTTTGAGTCACTTTTGAGCTTTTAAGGAAGTTTAATTTTCGGGAGTCTTTTTAATTCGGTTATAAATACATGTAGAGACTTGAAACTTGGTAATAATACTTATTATTAGGACTTACCTTGACGTGGTAAAACTTCCAAAATCATCGGATGACTTTTTTCCTTTTTTAAATTTGTTTACAACGGTACATTATTTATTTTTTTTTTTTTTAACGTAGTCCACTTTTTCTTAAATTCAATTGTATATACTTGGTAAATACATAAGCCATTTTTTTCATTATTTAAATGGTATCTAAAGTAAAAAATGATAAACTGGGGAAAAAATACAATTTTTCAAAATTACGATTCCGTTATTTTAAATAAATACCTACCACGTTTACTAGCACAAATATAGCTCCGATTTAAAAACGACAAGAGACCATTCTTGTTGAATTATTAATTTTGATTTTAATGATGCAGGTCGTTTTTTTTTTTTTTTTCTATTAACCATTTTGAAAATAAATTTAAACAAAAATCGCAAAAAAAATTACGGTACCTCAAACTATGTACCGAACTGCACTCGGAATCGCATTTCATCATCAATAGTTTATCATTGCTTACAGATATAAATCATATAATCTAATGTATCCTACGTTCCTAACTTCTGACCTACAATAGTAGCGGCTCCCATCTCCAGTATCAGCTCTTTTTTTTATTTCGATATTTTGGCGCGACCAATTAAATCAGCATTGTAATTTACCGTCTGGCGTCGTGCATTTTATTTATACAAACGTTTTCGCTTGTCTTCGCCCCCCCTCCCTCTTAACCACTCAAAAGTGTTTCCTTTTCCTCGACTTTTGAACCGAATAATTCACGAAAGTCGTGCAGAAAATCAAAGAAGGAGTACAGTGTCAGTTAGTGTACTATTGACTTTCGTAGACCTTTGACGTGTTCAGAATGGGTAAAACAAACAAAAGAAAAAACACCTACATATTATTATATTAAAAATCCACGTGTGTGTGAGACGTAAATTTTCTTCCGCGTTATATTATTACGAGTGCGTCTTATTGAATTCAGTCCTTTGTGATTCAACAATACAATAATAACACAGTGTGATTTTTGTTTTAACGTTTACGATCATCTCAGAAACTTCTATCAAACGTAGTTTTTTACGAAAATTTCAGTTACCTATGGTCTATACACGTTTCATTCCCTTTTCACTACACATTTCAATTTTAGATCGACTTCACAAAAAAAAAAAAAAAAATTGAAAAACTACGAACATTTTGGGAAAACTACGGAAATTCCGAGATTATGGAAAAAGTATACGAATATTTAGTCAACTATGAACCATAATATAAATTATCTTTGGGAAAACTACGGAAATTCCGAGATTATGGAAAAAGTAAACGAATATTTAGTCAACTATGAACCATAATATAAATTATCTATGAATTCAATTTTTGGTGTATTTATATAATATAATATGTACACATACATATGCCATTACTAAATGTTATCATTATTACAACTATTATCATAAATACATTTGTTAAGTGCATTAAGTATACTTGATTTAGAACTGGATGTTATATATAATGTAGACATTATTTTTTTTATAAGTTTTATAAGTGTAAAATTCAAATTTCAATGAAAATACATTTTGATAAAAAAAAAATGTATAGGTATAAATATAAATAATATAAAATAAAATAAAATTGTACCGTCCCGTGCGTTATAATAAAAACAATTAGTGAAGAAATACTACACAATTTTCGAAAAATGAATTAAGGTACAATTTTAATATTTACAATCTAAAATACTATTTTGTTTTACTTTCAAGTGTAAATTTGTTAATTAATGTTTATGAAAATACCACTTTTGTTCAAATTAAGGTCATATATTACCATAATTCCTAAATTTAAACTTAATTGGATAGCCGTTGAAAATGAAGACATAGAAGAGGCTCATATAGAAACCGTAACTAATAATAATTCTACAAAATATCTCAATTTCTCAAGAAACATATCGATCATTAACAACTATTATGTACCTACCGTAGTAGTATACTGAACAATTTGAAAATAGTAACTTGAAAATTATTATAAATACTTCACCATACATATTTCATGTGAAATAAAATAAATACATAAATAATTACAATATGAACAACGTTTTTAATAATATACATGTATAAATATATAAAGTAAGTATAAGTAAAAAAAAAAAAAAAAAATAGTAATAGATAATTTAAATGTGTAATAAACAATTTTTTAATTGATAAACTTCAACGTTTTTCAATAACTATAAAAAGATTTGTATTCAAAAAGAACAAAAATAACTATAGATACCGAAAAAATAAACAATAATTAAAAAAAAGCTGTCTTAGTATAATGAGGACGGGTGCAGCCACTGTTTTATGTGGGAAGTTGGTTAGGTAAGATATAGACGGAAATTTAATGCATATCTGCATGCAACGATTAACCATTGCTAACGAAAAAACGATTCTGAGTAGATTTCGGTTGATAGTGTTATATTTCATACATTATATGTCATACCATGGTAAAATAATGTTATATGCATTAAACATTTTCTTCGATAGTATTTATTTAATATTATACCTATTTTCCTATTTTTCCCACGTATCCCATTTATTAGGAAAGTTCTTGGGAAAATCAAAAGATGACCTCCCTAAAGTACTTCCCCAGTCCGATTTTTTTCAGAAAAATACGTTTTCAAAATCTTTTTCTCTCCCCCGTTATCTTGTCTTATAGCCGTCCCTGGATCTGACTTATAAGTACAATTATTTAAACTCAATAAATAATTCTTAGAAAATCAATTATAAAATGAGGCCGAATCTAATAAAACCGCTGTGTTCGGAACGTTCACCAAAAAAACGAATTCGTCCACGTTCGTGTTTTTTTTTTTTTTTTTTTTTTTTTTTCTATGAACAGTTTACCTGTACAGTAGGCACACGATTCACAACAATCACAACTACAAATAAATTCCGTGCGTGTTCTGCGCGTCCCCGTTGTTTTGCAATTCCAGTAATTCCAGTAATTAAATTTAAATTCTACGGTGCAGATGATAAATGATAAAGCCTATTATAGTCCACGTGACCGCGACATACCACTTATACGCTTACACCGTATTTATTTTTATTATAATTAGCCGATTAGATTAATAGGTATACCGATTTATTACATATTCGTGAAAATTATAATAATGGTATTGTTCTTCGATGTCGGGCCGGGCCCGCTAGAATTGCGCGTATTTAATTTTTTTGATATAATTTTAATCAAATAATTTAAAATATTTAATAAAAAATAAAAACAGGAAAATTTGAAAATATTATTACACAAAATAAAATAATCAGTATATTAAATATTGTATACATAGATAATATTTGTTTTTAATGGGAGTTTAAATTGAGAGTCTTAAAATTCGTGTAAATTCATTAAAAATTTAAACGTTGTTCACGTTTACGTTATATTTAAAAAAAAAAACGAGTGACGTTCGCATATCGTTCACAAACTATGAACGTGAACGTGCGTTCATGAACGACGTTCTTCCCGAACATTGTAAAACCGCCGAAAATTTGATCCAAATTATTAATTCGTTTTCTCCGTATTTTTAACTATGCTTAAGACCTTAAGTTTTCCAAATAAATTCGCCAACATGTTTGCAAAAATATTCTGCCAAACGTTAAAACAATTTAATTATTTGTAAAAAAAAAAAAAAACAAAGTTATGGTACTATTGCAACGTATAACTAACTAAAAATATTTTAATCAAACGAATACTTTTAGAATTTAAAATGTGGTACGTTTTGAATGCAGTTCAAGTTTCAGGTTTTTTTGATAAATATGAAATATGGGTCAAATTAAGTTAAACGAATAATTCGTTTACTTGAGGCTAAAAATGTACATAAATGAAACAAAATAAACTGAAATCGAGATGAAATACCGATAATAATATAATTACCTACCTTTCTCAAATCCGGTTTGAGTTAGGTTCGAAATAAACATAATAAACATAAAGCTTTTTCAGCTGGTGCAGCTTGATTGATCGTTAAATCATACAAGAGATAAAAACATATTTCAGCGTCTTTGATAGGAATTCGATGGAGTTGACGGTAGTGGCACCAAATTTGCGTTTTTATACAGAACTTCACAGAACGTGAGACGGAGCGGTTGCGTATTTTGGCTATCAACGATTTCGGTAATCGGCCAACAAAGCATACGTAGTCTCCGCTAGCTCGGTCACTTTGAAGTCCCCAACGGTGGACATTATAGCGTTCACCGTACGTTCTGTGATAGCGCTTTCCGGATGATTTCTATAGGCGGCCATCAAAGGACCCGAAGTATCCGCGATCATGGGTACTTTGACGTCTTCGACTCGGGTTCTTCGACCGGATTCTCAGACGAGTCAGTAATTTGCAATTCCCAGCGTGTCGTAGTTCGCGAAACGGACCTACATACGACTGGCAAAACGTTTCTGTAAATACATTTAAAACTCGTAAACCGAATAGGTATTGCAATGATATCCCTAACACACTTAAAACAATATGATGAGTATACGAGTTATTTTTATATTTTGAATTCTAAGCATATTGAGAAACACAATATTTTTAACACGATATCCATTTATAATATGTAATATTATTACAAATCGACCTTTTTTCTACCTTGGACCGATGAACGAAAAATACCTATTGAAATTTTACAAATAGATGCACACAAAAAAAAAAAAAATCCGTAAAATGTACACATAATAATACGGATTTAGACCCGGTTTAAATACCCGAAGTAAAAATGCAAGTAGACTCTTACCTACACGTGGTTTTAAGGTTGGTTTAGGCCACGGGGGTTCATTTATATACTGGCCGCCCGTCAGCGAATAAATTCGCGGGTACACGCGAGCTAGTAAAATCTGAATAAAATCTTTATCCTTCGCCGGCGGACGAGGATAACGATTTTAACACCGACGATTTTACCAGTGAAACGGCTGACGTACGGCGATTTCCGATCGCCGGCCAACAGCCATGGCGAGCGGACGATATTTTTGGTCTAGTAGAACGAGTAAATTCGCTCCGTGTGATCGACGCAAATTATCGATTTGCGAATAAAATGTACGAAAAAAAAACAAAATAATAAAAATAAATAAACCGTTTAATATGAAATGATTTATCGGATGCACGGCAGCCTTATTGTAACGATCGCGGTGCATTTGGCTTTACCGCGCAACACCGGCAACACAAAGCCGCCAAGAGGACGTGCTTTCGGCAGTCGGCAGGTTCCGTGCCATTTTAATTTGACACACTACCGTATAACATGTAGATCGGATTAAAATAGTAGAAATACTTCGCGTGAAACGCGTTGAAAAATAACGGCGAAAAGAATTTCGAAAAAAAAAAAATAATAATAATAAAAAGAAAAAAGCCGATACTGGGAACGGACGCGGCCACCGTTGTAGACGGGTAACGCACTACGTTATTGTTTAGCGTTTTTAGCGTACAGTTTTGAAAACAAAATGAATGTATGTTTTTACAGTCCAGTTTGAACCATCGTGTTTGACATATTGCCATTACGTTGTATTTAATTATATTTTATTCTGTTCGCGCCATAGATTATCGCTCAAAGCCGGCAATTAATTACCGCCGTTACTTATATGATAATTAAAACCTAGGAAAAAAATTAAAAAAATTCTTAACCCAGCAATAGTCACCATACACGCGTGGATTTCGTGGATTTCGCGTGAACTGCGTTTTTTAAAACGATCCGATTCGATTAACGCCTCTCGTCTGTGACAAAAACCATTAAGAGAATTTTACTTTATTTCAAATTGCGTCTTTTACAAAACCTAAATTAGTTACCTATATCCATTTTAACCGTTCAACAATAATATCCATTTGTAATTTGAATAACTATTTATTTTAGGCCAAGATTGTCCGAGTGCTATGTACCGACAACGTACGTTGAATTCGGTAATGCTGCGCCGAGATCTAAAGTGCGGCTGATTTTATGCTCTGAATCCAAAAGTACGGAATGCCGTAACACAGGCGATAAACTCTCGCGATAAAATTTCACAAAACGTAGAAAAACACCGCAAGGATATTTACTCGGTTGCCCGGGCTCTCGTTAACTTTTCGGACGACGGCGTCTACGAAGCAACAGTTGATTTGTTTGTATATTTAATTGGCCAACGGTGTTTCCGATATAATTATTTCAGGCCGGCAATAACTTCCGCGTTACATTTAATAAAACGGCCGTCACCACGACGACGCCGGGCCTCGGTTCCAAATGTGCTTTTCATTAGGCACCTATCAATTTTTATTATAAGGTTATATGGGCATTATTATGTATTCAGTGTACGCGTTCTAAAACGATTAGTCGTGAAAACCTCTAGTTATTGTTTTTGATTGCGTGAACGAGAAACAAATTCGGGCAGTTAGGGTACATAAAGATATTTAATTCGTATCCGCAAGCAACGGCAAACCATCGCTAATGAAAAACGATTCGGAGCGAAATGCGTTTATACGCGTTTGGAATGGCCGTAATATTTACGATTTTCGTAGAAATTTGATACTAAAACTCTAAAAAAAAAAAAAACACTACATTAAACTAGTACTTTTTTTTTGAGTTTCTATTTTTCCGGTAATTCTCAATTATTATGAAAAATGCTCGGGGAATCAAAAAACCAAATCACTTACTCGTCAAACCAGATTAAAAATGAACACGTAGTTTGTGAAACTTAAAAAAATCAATTAAATCGGTAAAGCGGTGGCGTGCCGTAAATATTTTCCATTCCGCCTAAAATTTTGTTTCCGGTTTTTCCCGATTAGGAAGACAGAAAAAAAAATCACCTCCCCAACGCATCAACAAGAAAAATTTTACAATCAGAAAATATGTTACACTTGGTACGTCGGAACGAGATTTCTGGTAGAGAAGTTGCCCGGCGGACAATCATAAAAAAACACACACACACATCAAAGTAAAACCAATAGATCCATCGCTCTCATCCAAATCTAAAACCGGACTCAGTGGTCAGTGAAGCTCGCGCCGCGTCACAGCGGTGCGAACCGACGTTCTCTCATCTCCGAGCTACCTAACCTAACTTATTCCTTTTCAAATCGGCATGCTATTNCGCGCATGTGTGTGTTTCACGTGTCCGTCACACTGACGACTGATGAGAATTTTAAATGGAATAATAGTATTTTCTGTTTTCAGCAATCCGTAAAGCGACAAGATCGTGGTTTCGGTTTGTATCGATTTAGTTTTTCGATCAAGAGAACCTCTAACCGACGTTCTCTCATCTCCGAGCTACCTAACCTAACTTATTCCTTTTCAAATCGGCATGCTATTGGTTACGAAATCTATTTCTTGTTTGGTATTCCTTTGGTTTTTTCCCGCGATTTTACGGACACGCCCGTATTTTGACAACGCAGTACATCACCTATATTACATCTAATCGATCTACTATATAACTTCAGATGTTTTGAGAATCGCCATCGAAAATATGAAATTTAGCTGATTTTTAACCGAGTTTAAAAATCGATTTGATTTTTTTTTTTTAACAAACTTTCGACGTAACGGAATCTAACAAAAAAAAAAATAATAATAATAATGTGCACGCTTTCAATTCGATACTTGAATTAAGTTTGTTTCTCTTGACTTAATACGACGAGTTGAAAGAGAAAAAAAAAATTTGAAAAATTTGTCAACTCGACCATGCTTGATTATAATGAGGAAAATAAGCCCGGGGGACGCGGCCTCCCATGCACCGCCGCCGAGCGTTTACGGCGAAATATTAGCGGAAAAACACACCGACCGATCGCGCGCGCGTTTTGTCGTCGTCGTCGGCCGTCTCCGGCACCGCACTCGTCTACGTGCTGCAGTCGCGTCCGCCCTCCGAGGCGCGCGGTGCCGCGCCCGCATATTTCCCAGCGGACTAATTTCGCGACGGAGAGAGCACGTCAAAAACCGTGTAACGCGCGTCTCTTGGATTTTTGTTCTTTTGCCCGGGGTTTTTTTTCTTTTTTCTCGTCCTCCCTCAGCTTCCCACGGCGCACGCTAACGTCTCGAGAGACGCGGGCCATCATCCGTCTCTCGTCCCCGTGACCCGTTCGCCGCGGGGGAGCGAGAGCAGCATAGAGCTGCGGCGCGCACCGATACAAATCGACCGTAAAACAGCCCGGAAAGCTCGAAAACGAAAAAAAAAAAAAAATCAAATAAGCGAAGACAAGCCGCGGACGCGCAGAGCCGGCGAGCCGTTCCCCGGAAGTGCGTTTCCTCGGCTCTATACCCTATTGCAGGTTATCCTATTATTATTATAAGGACGTAACGATTGCGAACGCCGTGCCGGCAACAATATCATCCGTTCGGAAGTCGTCCGCGATGACTATCGTCACGGCTCGCGGGGGCGCCGGAAAAAAAAAAAAAAAAAAAAAAAAACGTCTATATTATATGTATAGGTACCTCCGGACGAACGCGTGACGTATAGAATTCCTGCGGATCGAGACGCACAGCCTCGCGTAATATTAACAGACCGGTATGTATAGCGCGTGTGGATCGATTCGATTGGCGCGCGGATTATCAACGGGAAATCGGGAAAACGGTCCCGAACGAAGTTTTCGCGGATTCACGGTGTTCGTTCCGGAACAGCGCGTGGACCTCGTATCGAATTTTCAACCGTCTTGGAGAAGCCAAACCGATTTTAATCGTTTTTAAGTATCCGAGACTCAATACCGAACAGTGAAATCTGAAAAACCTCGACAGTTTCGAACGGTTATGAATAACTCCAGAACTGTTAACCGCATCCAGATTGTTTGGGTGTAAATATTCGACGGAAACGGCAGACCTCTGCGATTACGTTTCACTGAATCACCACGACAACAAAAATAAACCCCCAAAATAGAAACAGCGGAAAACGTTTTCACGTAAATTTTTCCGTTTTTCCAAGGTTTTTTTTTTTTTATTTACTTAAGTTAACTACAATGAAAATCGAAAACCGCCCCCCCCCCCGGTGCATCAACAAGACAACAGCTTCTACCGAAAACCACCCGTAGATCGGAACAATGTTTTTGGTAGGTAAACAAATTGTCAAAGGTGAAATAATTCATAATTAAACCAATACGTTTCTCGCTGTGTGCTCACACATATTATCCTAACCAACATTATATACAGACATTGTAATGTCCGTCTTTCTACATATATTCTAAGTTAAAGACGTCTACGTTTCGAACACTCCGTCCAAAGCGTATCGATTCGTTGCAATTTTTTTTTCTTTTTCAAATTTTCTTGAAAAACCGTAGGGGATCCCTATAAATTGTCGTATAGAAAAACGCATTTCGAATGAAACACCGTCGGGTAAACATG